GTACAACAGTGAGCGCAAGCTAGATTAAAGTGATTATTACGTTTTGAATATGGATATGTGTGAGACACTTTTTTTTATGGATGGGCTCTTTTTATTTCACTTCTTTTGGACTGATGCATGCAACACCCGCTGAGTGCCATGAAACAGCTTGAAAGATCAAAGACAAGCTTTTAAATATAACTCCGACTGGATTCGTCTGAAAGAAGAAAGTCATATACACCTAGGATGACTTGAGGGTGAGTAATTTATGGGCTAATTTCCATTTTTGGGTGAACTAACCCTTTAATACTCATTTTATTCTATAAACATAGTGAAACCTTTTTTTCTCTCTCTCTGTCTGAAAGTATTTTCTGATTTATGGAGTGATAAAAAAAAGAGTTACCAAAAATCCCCTCTAATTTGTCAACAAAATGAAACAAGAATTTTGAACCTGGTGTTATCCAATGTTCAGATTTATCTTCTGGAAATGAATGCATATTTAAGTAGTAGTACTGCCTCGCTGGCTTATTTATACACACATTTTCAGAAAACGTACAAAACAATTGAAGAGTTCAGATGCAAAAGCCTCTAAGTGCCGTTTGAAATTTTCCTCTAAAATGACCGTTTTTATCAGGCTTCTATGTGTAGGTTCGGTAATTTCACTTTAATGGCAATACATAGGTTCTTTTCATTGCCATTAAAGTAAAATAACTGAACAGAAACAGTAGCCTGTGATTAGTGTGATTGTATCTATTAGTGACATTTTCCCCATATATACCTGTGGAGTCTTGCCTTAATTTCTTAGAACTTGACATGGCGCCAACCGTGGAGTTCATTGCAATACTTCAAGTTAAACTAAATGAAAATGATTTTTAAAAAGCCTAAAAATTAAATAGGCTTAGTATGTTTTAGATTTTATTTTAAGTAAAAAAAAGTGTGTTTTTCATGGTTTTAGTTTAAGTTAACTATAATAACCTTGGCTCAGGCTGTGATTGCTATCATCAATGACGTCTGTTTAGCATGTTTACATAAACCAACAATTAAAAATAGTGCAGCAGAGTGCAAGAATGTGTCCTGTGTGAATGCCCCCTTTGGCTGCCTTTGGGTTTCGGTTCAATTAACAATCAGTCCCAATGTGAGCTGTGGCGGTTCCTCCTGCATGCGCTTCTGTGTGGGTGCCTGTGTTTAGGAGCCCGCCGCTTCTTTTCCACAAGATCCTTGTGAACCAGCCCCACACACGGTGCCTCTGTCAGGCAGCTGTTTCCCTGCTCGCCGTAATCACTTTCTCTGTGCGTCAGTGTTCCCTGTTGGCTGAATGGTGCCTGTGTACTAACTTACCCCGTCTCTCTCACTCTTTCTAGCATGCAAGCAAGCCGGACGGCAATGTGTTGCGCAGACGACAAGCTGGACGCCTTGTTCACGCAGCTGCGGGATGGGCGTTTCATCTCGGGTCACCAATGAGAACGCGCAGTGCAAGCTGCTGAAGGAAACCAGACTCTGCAACATTCGTCCCTGTAGTTCTGTGGCTGTGCCTATAAAGGTAAACATAGCAAGATTATCTGCAGAATCACCACAAGATCTGCTGAAAAGACCAGTTTATGTCTACTTAAATAGCACGAGAAATCTTCCTTGCTTCACCAAAAAAGACCAGCTTCTAAACTACATGTTTATGTTGGTGCACCAGCACCAAACTGGTACTAACCAATGAAAACATTCATTAAATTAAATCCATAAATCTAAACCATGCAATCATCATTTGGCCTTTGGCTCTTTCCAGTTTCACAATGGAAATGTTGCTCTTGCAGTGTTTTCCAATGTGCAAGTAAAATGTCTGTTTTTAACATTATTTAAAGCCTTGCTTATTGTTGAATATTATTAGGTATCATGTATGATTCTGAATATGGAAGTAGCTTGAACAACAGCAGCAGCATACTTTAGCAGTTAACATGTCAGCATGCATGATGTAATGTAAAATTTTATTTAAATTAAGACATTTTCACTGCAGATAGTGCTGTTCTTCCTCACCATTCTTATCTTGTACTCCTAGTACAAATGTCTAAAATAAACATGTTTACTGGAAATTCAAAATGACATAAGAATTCTTGTTGTCTCAGAAAATTATCAGAATTAAGTGAGCTTATGATTAAAACAAGAACACATAATCGCCAAGAGGAAAAAGCTGTCAATGCAGTAAGACTAAATACATTCATATTAAAGAAAAATGCAGTGTAGCTTCTCTAGTTAATTTATCCAGTTTTTATGATTTTAGAATTTTTTTCTTTTTTTTTAATCTAAAAAAAAGAAAAGTAAAATCAAGAAGTCAATTTCAGTGGTGCACACTGCTAAAGTGATGTTTCATTATGACTCTGTCTTAGGGTGTGTTTACACAACAACAATGTACTAAAAATGGTAGACAATGTTGTTGAAATGATCCCCATTTACGTGTTTCTGAAAATGACTAAAAATGCTGTATTATGCATGCCAGGACAATAGTTGGCGATGTCACTTTATAAAGAAACATGACTGATGGAACACATAAAGTGTATGACATCACCGTTTTCGCAAATTTGTGGTTTTGTTGTTTTCGATAAGGGTATCATTTTCAATAACTTGCACTTTGAAACCCGTTTTCAAAAGTTCACATTCTCTGGCCACCAAAACACTGCTTTCATGAAAATGAATGGCCAAAACGCATAAAACGATTCCCATTTTTAGTTGAAAACGGTGTCGCGTAAACAGCCCCTTGGCCTACTGAAGTTATCACTGCACACTTCTTTTCCATTGCAGATGTGAGTGTAAACTGCCTTTTATTTTTATTTAACAGAAGGGGAGGAAGTGCTCTCGTACGCAGAAGTCTCCAGAGCCTCTGCGTCTGCGCTACGCTGGCTGCCGCAGCACACGCCTCTATCGGCCCAACTACTGTGGGACGTGTCTGGACGGGCGATGCTGTTCGCCCCGCCGCACACGGACGGCCCCCGTGCTCTTCGCCTGCCCCGACGGAGAGCACTTCGAGAGGGCCGTCATGTTTGTGCAGTCCTGCAAGTGCAACGACGAATGTGGCCACCTGAACGATGCGGCGCTCCCGCCCCAACGTTGGCTGTATGGCGACATGCACAAGTTTGTTGATTAACATCTTGTTTGTCCAAAGACCCCATGTTTGTCCCCATGTCTTTCCCCAACCAATAGAGTAGCGTTTCGAAGTGTAACTCTTGAGTAGACGCTAGGCCGAGGCCTTATTATAATGCAAATCCATGTGGAAAAAGGGCAATTTTGGGTTTCCAATCCCTTGTACCGAGAGCCTTAGAGTAGATGTGCTTACCGCGAGGATCCAGGATGGGATGAATCCCGGTTGTGAATATATACAATGGATTTTCTGATTGACTGGTCCTTACCATGAACAGTGATGCATTCTGGGGCACCTGCACAATCTAAATAAGAAAAAAAAAAAACTGCCTCAGCGGGACACTGATGAGACGCTTAAATGTGGTGGGACCGACTCTCAGCTTCACAAGGGCTGGTCTTTACTTCTTCTGTAGTGATTGCTTTGCCTTGACGTTCAAAGAACAGCCGGCAAATACGAGGGAAACTCATCGGGAAGTCGTTTTAAGCTACCCAGGGTTTGACTCAGCTGCTTGTGGACTCGATGCTGAGTTTGATGGTTTCGTGAGCCCATGACGTCAACTCACTGAGGGATATTTGCCAAGTGCCGCAGCTCCCTGGCGTCAAAACGTCGGCTCCTCTGCTCCCGGCTAATTACAATCCTCTTCTTTGGGGGCAGAAAGAAACCCAGTAACCCTTTGGTTTGCAATAAAAATATGTTTAAAACACCAGCATCTGATGTAAACATGTAATTTGAAAGTAATGGGTGGGACGGTTCTTTCAAACGCTGGTCTGTAATCTACCACATGATGGCAGAGCCTCGTGCAAACGGCACTGGTGTCTGTGTTTTATAAAGCAGCAGTCTCTATTTCTGCCTGGCATTGGTGCATGAACTGACGGAGGTGACGTCGCACCATCTGCCCTGAAGAATGAGAGTTTGAACAGGCTTTGAGACAAAAAACCCAAAATTTTGAAAGAGAGAAGCCATGTTGTCACTGAATAATTATGTTATTTTTAGTTACATATTGTTTGAATTCCCAATCTCAACTGAGTAAAATGGAATTTCTACATTTTACATTTCAAATGCCATGTTCTTTATAAAAGCATTTTTTGGGGGGAGAAATTACGTTGTGGAAAGGTGTTGACTGAATAAACTGCCAATTACATGCTGCATGCAAACTTGATGGAAAATTAACAGCGTTCTGTTGTTTCGTGTTACGCAAACTTTACTATGGGTTCGGGAAACGGTCGCAACTACCTAGTTAGTTTTTAATTTTAAATTTAATTTCGTCATGCATGGTACTTTGGTAAGTAAGCACAGGAAATTACGTACTCCAGTACCTCCTAGGCGTTTTATTCCTGTCTGGCACGAAAAGAGTGGAGATCTTCTGGTCCCCAATGTGCGTCTGTGGGATTTTCTTCACCTGTTTTATCGTATGGCAGGTAAAAATTTTAAGACTTTCTTTGACTAAGCATTATTGCAACCAATCTGATTTCATCATAGCTGATATTTGTATGCTTTTATTAAAAACATTTTTGTACAACCTTATAAACAAGTCTCGAGTGGATTATATCAGGAAATGACAATGAGCAGCCAACATGTGACACTTCGAGACAGTTGAAAATATTTACTTGGATTCGGGTCTGGTCTAAAATGATCTTGTATTACCTCTTAAGAGAGGACAACCACTCACCATCCATTAAATAAACTGGCTTGTAAAAACGACTCACTGCAGGTGTGTGATCATTTGTTTTTGTTTTTTATTATTATACTGCAGTGTAGTTCCAGCTGTAACCATTTTAACAGCCTAGTCAAACTCCGTTAACATTTTAAGTTTAACCCTCATATGGTTTGCATTTCCGGTTTACACTAAAATTGAAAGAGTAAATGTAAAAAATATACACATTTTTAATCATACAAATATATATTTTTTGTTTACTTCTCATCTATACATTAGAGCAGTGTTTTGGGAGATATGAAGTACTTTTGTACCCATTTACCACAAAAATCCTCAACTACACCATTAGCTTGCATGTTAAATATTAAATTTATGAAAAAAAAATCACTTCAGGTGATCTAAATTTGATTTAAGTTGTTTCTGGCTATTGATCTAGGTGTTGTGTAGAATTATGCCATCTGCTGGTTAGAGAAAAACTAAAAAAAAAAAAAAAGTGTAATGACCATATATATCCAGCAGAGGCCCATAGAGATCCATTCATTTTTCTGGAAGTGGCCAACTGCTACTCGCAACTTGATATATATTTTGTAAATATATACTGAAACTGAGAAAAATACTGTTTTTAAATTTTTTTTTAATAAGGTTAAATTTGTTTTTGTCGTTTAAGGTATTTTGAAGTGTCCGCTTTTGCAATAATGCCACAAATTTGCAGAAATGCCACACAAGTTGTCAAACTTTTTTTTAATTTATTTTTTTATAAAATGTAATTTTTTTTTCAATCTAAAAAGTAAAATCAAAACAATTTTATTTTACTTAAATGTAATTAAAAACCACAAAGACGACTTATTTTGGAAATAAGTCAATTTCCTATTAAAAATTGACATTTTAGTCATTTGCAACCACACAAGTCTCACAATGCGTTAACCTTAAACAACCGAGGTTATGACACTGGCCTGCAAGTTTAACAAGACAAATATCTAGAAAGATAGTAAACCATTACACTAAAAGCATCTGGAAACCCATTACGAAACCACTTTCATACAGTGACATTTCTCAGAAGACAAACACAGTCAGTCAAGGTGTAGTATATAAAAAGATTTAATTTCATTAAAACCCAAAACAAAACATGATTTTAGGACAAAATCGTAAAACAGACAACTCGCCCGGTCCTCTGAGAGAAGCAGTAAAAACAACTGTGGGTTTGAGGTAAAAAGGAGGCTTTAAAAACAGAGGTTCTGCACCCCGCCGTGATCCAACAGCTGCGATTCTGGAAACATCAAGACCTTCATCTGGACTGTTCAACTGCACACAGAAAAAAGACAAACGTCACTTCAAACACGCAAGACCTCAAACGCTACTCTTTCAACCAGTCCCTGTGGGTTTAAAACATTCGGCAAGAAACCAATGGGGAAACAAACTCAATGTTTGAAACTGAGAATGACGATACATCAACTAATATATCAGGGATAATAGTTAAGTTTGGGGTCCAGATTAACTTCGCAATGCTTATATATTTGACAAACCCACAGATAGAGCCAATGCTAATAACCTCAAAATATCCAATTAACTAGCATCACTTCAATGACCACATTAGCATCCGCCAACATTTTCCCTAATTACTACATTTCTGTATTTGAATACAATCAACCTTATTTTATTTGTAACATATTCTGTTGTATTTATATATGCTTGTAATTTGTGTATTTGTTCTTATTTTTACTGGCTGTTCTCTCGTCTCTTTAATCATGTTTAAACTTTCTTAGTTAATCTAGTAGTATTTGCTGTGGTATCAAAGAAGTACTTCGCTTTAAGTAATAAATGGAAAGCAAGTTAAATTGAAATATTTTTCTTTTCTTGCTGATCCGAAAAATGATCCGATCCGTGGGTCAAAAACCGTAATGTGATCCGAACCGTGAGATCCGTTGAACCACTATTATTAATTCATCACACTCATAAGGTTACATTAAATTTGGAAGCAGATTATCAGAGTTTATTTCTTCACGCTCAAAACGCTTAACAGGTATAATAAGATGAGACCAAAGACTCACTATAAGTGGAAATGTCAATCTCCTCTGGTAACTCAGCCACGTTGACCTCGAATCGGTCCTGCACGTCGTTCAGGATCTTTGCGTCCGTCTCGTCTGACACAAATGTGATGGCCAAACCCTTGGTGCCGAAGCGACCCGCACGAGCCACCTGAGAACAGGACGAGACCGTGTGAGACGTGCCACTTCAGAGATCTCCAACACTTGTGACGACTACATGGATACGTACCCTGTGGAGATACGTGTCGGAGTCCTCTGGCATGTCGTAGTTGAAGGCAATGTTGACCCTCTCGATATCCATTCCTCGCCCGAAAAGGTTTGTGGCCACTAGGATCCTCCTCTGAAAGTCTTTGAACTGCTGATACCGAGACAACCTGCGAGCAGAGACAAGACGAGTCTCAGCTACGTGCATTAAATATTCAATGATTACATTGTTCATCTTAAGAAAAATGTTCAAGAGCTCCAAAATGAGATTAAGGAGATGAACATAATTTCAACAAGTTGTTAAATGCACTGAAGCGCTAATTACGAATGTATGAGGAAGTACAGAAATCGTTGCAAGAAAAAAAATATTAAATGGGAAAATGCCATTTCTATATTCTTAGCAAGTTAGTTACATACTGAAAAGGAATTAAATGAGCATCCAATTTCAAACGTTTTGTGTCTTTAAGGATTGTAACTTTAAATCTGTGTTTCCCTGAACTGACTAAGAAAAAATTATACAAAAAAAAAAAATTCCATTGAGCTATTATAAGGGAGACTGTATTTATTTGTTGGCTGAAACTCTAAATTTGAACTCCAACCATGGACATTTGACCATCTGGTGTTAAAACATTGTTTATTTAAGCCAGGGGTTCTCAAACCTGTCCTGGAGGACCCCTAGCCCTGCACATTTTGTATGTCTCCCTTATCTGACACACCCAATTCATGTCTTGTAGTCTCTACTAACGAGCTGATGAGTTGAATCAGGTGTGTTATGGCGCTTTTCCACTGCATGGTACGGCACGGTTCACTTTTGGGTGGTACCTGGTACTTTTTTTAGTACCACCTCGGTTGGGATTCCAAGTGAACCGTACCGTTACCAAAACGTGACGTGTAAACTCTGCTGATCACGGATTGGCCGGAGAGAATAGTCACTACCTGCGTCACTGAACTTGCGACACAAACACAAAAGAACCGCTAGATTTAAATCAGCACAGCCAGCGAAGGATCGAACGCAACTGTTTTGAACGAGTGCACCTTTTTTTTTTTAACAACCAAAAAGTTTTTGTCTGCTGCGGAAGAAAAGACGTTCCTCTCGTTGATAGCAGAGGAGCGGATCCAGTGAGAGGATCTTGATGGGGTGACACGGAATGAATTTTTTATTTTTATTTATTTTATTTTTTTTTTAGGAGTCATGGTAGTAGAGGCGACGCAACTATAATGACATGTGAATAAATCCGCCCACTCTAAAGCGGTACTGAACTGCAGTGGAAATGCAAACAGTGCTGAGCCGCACCAAGCAGTGGAAAAGCGCCATTAGATAAGACATACAAAATGTGCAGGGCAGGGGGTCCTCCAGGACAGGTTTGAGAACCTCCGATTTAAGCAAACAGATGTTTACTACAGTAATGTCCTATAAATGTCACTTACCATTTATTACGGTATTTTTTTAATCATGTTTTAACATTTAGAAGCCAGTATACACAATTTCGACATTTGCTAATGTCAGAGGTTTAAAAAAATAAAATAAATAAATAATAAAAAAAAAGATTTACTGCACAAACACAAAAAGTCCACTTGCATGACATGAGGAAAAAAATTTTTTTTTGGTAATCCTTGATTTCTTTTAATAACTCCAGGGATGCTAATGTTTGTTTGACTATATTAGTTCATTTTGCGGACGTCCATTGTTTTTATATCAGACTAATTATATTATCCTACCCCTAAACAAACCCTCACAGAAACTTGTGCAAAACACTAGACACCATCTATCTATATATATATATATACATAAATAAACATGACTTGGCCAATTTATAAGTCATTTTAACACAATGTCCTCACTAGTCAACAGTCATATTTCATTACATAACAGGACATTCAGCCTAAACAAGTACACACACCTCTCTTCCTGTGCCATTCCTCTGTGAATGGCGATGGCGGGGAAGTTCTGCTCCACCAGTAACTGTGAAAGTGCCACGCAACGCTGAACAGACTTCACGAATATCACCACCTGCAGGAC